GTGCCTTGGCAGTCTCAGGGGATAAAACTATTCATGAACTTCCATTAGGATCACAACAAACAGATTCTTAAAGCAATTCAAGTTTAAAATCGATATACTTCGATAACAAAGTTTTCTCCTAGATTTCAGTCAGCAGAGTGTTTGAAAGAAAAAGGAACCCAGATTTTATGGCATTCATTCTATAGAGGAGCAAAATGATATATATGATTTTTAGTGCAAAACATGATATGTTTTCAATAAACCGAATTTAAATTTTCTAGAAACCACGAAATCAATCAGACGAATCAGAAATGTGATACATGGGATTCAAAGCAATCGCTAACACGACACATGAATAACGCTAAATAACACTAACTTGACACAACAGAAAAAGACAAGCGAACAGGCAATCCAAACTTCTTTAATGAGAGAAATATGCTACCAAAGAGCTAAGTTGGAGAGAATAGTTAAAAGAGAACGAAATTGAAACTAAGAATACAACAACTATAAATGCTAAAAGATATAAAACAACACCATTTTCCTTCCACAAAAATCTGCTACCTCGAAACAATTGAACAACCAGAAGCTGCAATCATAGAAGTCGATAGATCAAAAGAAAGGAAAAATAATATTTTTTCCAGAAACTAGTGATGGTCATAAACCTAAACATGCTTCAAAGTAATACTAAACCCCACAGAGAGACTTGTATCCGTGAGGGACCCAAATATGCGACTGTCTAATGCATTTCCGCACTTTCCAAGCACATTGCAGAGACAAGAATGTTCTTCCATTAAACACTGAAAAACAACACATTTTTTTTTAAAAAATGCAATGAGACAAGATGGAGACACTACCGAAAGTACAAAGAACGCTGGGAGTACCTATAGCAAATGATGAACAACGGGAACAAGAGAAATACTAACAGCTACTCAAACGAGCATAAATAAAAAATATATATATAAAAAATCAACAGTAGACTGAGATAATTAACCTAAAGAAAACGATAGAAAAAAAAACAGCTCCAACAATATTAATAATACAATGGCATGCTTATCAACAAAGGATTATCATTTGTCCATGTATGTTAAAATAATAACTCTGTATCCCATTAATGGAAAATCGAACAAAAATCAAACTACAGTCACACAATCAAATTTAGAACTTCAAACAATCGAATAGGATGCAAAAGGGAACTAGCAAGGGATAAGTAAGTTAACCTTTTCGAGGCAGGAACTAGGACAACGACGAGCTGATAGGGCAACAACTATCACACCAAACGCAAAATGGAAGGTAATCGAGGAACCCAGACAGCAACTTAAACACACCCCAAGCTAAAGATCGGGATTTAACTCTTCCTTCTTTTCGAAAGGTATTCTGGTATGCCTTTTGGTTATTTACCTGTGTAATTTCTATGCTTGAGATAAAAAATATCTCCAAGAAGACCCAAAAAAAAAATGAATGCAAAAGATTACTTATAGTTGAAAAATTAGGTTTTGGGATTGGAGGGAAAAGGGTAGAAAAGGCATTCCCAGGATTCAAAATTCAAAATTCTGCACTAAAGAACCGCTCTGATAAATAAAATGAATTTCTTGGCCAAAATTTGAAATGATGAAAGGAACATGGACGGCCATAGTTAATCCTCCGTCCTCGCGGCTTGACGTGGCATCATCTTGTGCAAGCAAGAACGATTTGGCGTGGCTTTATCCAGCCAAAAAAAAGAACTGGAATTGTAGAGAGTCGTACGGCGGCAGTACCAGGCTGAAGATGCATGAACATCAACTAATTTTCGTCTATTCCGTGCATTGGATCGAGCAAATGTCTTTTTGCTGAAGTTGCCGTTGTCGTTTCGACCGGGCGTGAAGACGCCGTGAAGACGACCATTTGAAAAGGTAGACCTTGATATTGCGTTCTATGTTGGTGGAAATCAAAGGAAAACTTTATATGGCCGGGTCAAGAGGTATGGGTTGGAGAATTGGGCTGAGAATTGACTTATTTACTTAATTTTGATTAAAAAAAAACATTGGCTTGGGCTAGCTTAAATTCATTAGGGAGGCCAAATTTGGTCTTTTTGCAACCAAATATTAATTTAACAAATTTGGAATTGAATGGGGAAATGGTTAACATTAAACTCGATGAATTAGTTTAAAACGAGCTTCTTAATTTCAACAAAAGAAGTAATCGATTTAACTATAAATAACTAATCCAAGAAATGAAATTATTATATAACTAAATTATTAGTAAAATATTTAAACAAAGTAAAATCTTTTTGAGATGATTTTCGAATACATCTAAGCATAGATAATTATGTAAATCATATATATTAACTAAAAGTTACAAAAGATAAGACTAATGTGAAAAAAAATTAGAAAAAACTTTAAACCTTATAAAACTAATTATTTCAAAACCGTTTAGAATTAATAAATTCGCTAATAAATTTATATTGTCGAGGTCGAAATTGGGTGTCAACAACTGTCCCTTGTTTGAATTTGATTTATGAAAAGAATTCAAGGAAAATGAAATTGAGTAATACAATTTTGATCGACCCACATATCTGTCTCTAGGAAAGGATTCGGGAACGTACTTTAGGAATTATGGCTGAATCCTTGAAATGTGTTTCCTACATATCTCAGGCTATATGAGAATTCAGTCCACCTATAGTTAGATACGCTATATTTAATGCACGATTTTAAAAGAATTCGAAAGTCATCTCGATACCGGACTATGAAGGGATTGAGATGCTCGGAAATGGTATTTAAGAGTGAATGTTGGAACACAGCCAAGTTTTCAACATTGAGCCCGCCTACAGATCATTGAACCTTAGAATCAGGCTGCTTGTAGTTCGACTCAACTGGTGGAAGAGAAAATTTGTTATGCTAGATAACCTTTGGCTATGGACAAGTGACAAATTAAATCGAATATGAAAAAGAGGCTTGTAACCTCTTATCCATGAATGTAGTACACTTCACACCCATAATTAAGAACTAACATGGACATAATTTCCAAAACTCTTGGTGTATCGTTACTCAGATTGGAAACTTACTTCCGGCAGGCACGGAAATTTCCAGATGCGAGATCGAAAATGATAAAAATCAAAGTAGAAAACCACATGCCTTTTGATAGGGGTGAGATTTGATTGTGATGGAAGTCACCCCTTCGCTCGCGTCCTAAGAGTTTGACAATCCTCTTGGACTATGTCCCGATTAGCTGTTAAGAAATAGTTTCATGTTGTGCTGCATCCTTTTTGATGTCGTCCGCACCATTTTTTTAGGAGAATTCACCCTTTCGGGTTCTCTTAACAGAGACTGAGATAAAACTCGTCAGTATAAAAATGTGGTTCAAATGGGATATAGTGTCTTTTACCGTTTTGACACTTAATTGCTCTCCTTCAGCATTTGACGTCAACTCGATTTGGCTTGACGTAAAGCAAATAAAGCTCATGCCTTATGTTTGCAATATAATATTCCATGTACTTCTCATTTGATGTTGAAATAAATAAAAGTTGATGCATTGTTGATATTTTCTCTTGATGTTGTCTTTGATGCTCTTCCAGATGTTTATTTTTATCAAAATAAAAGGATGCAGTTAATACCAATGGATAATTATTTCCCTAGAGATGCGCGATTCCTTCTCTAACAGAGCATGATTTATTGAGGGGTATGAATATCTTCCCGCGATGCGTGATTTCTTGTGAGGCGTGAATATTTTCTCGTGATGCATAAATTTCTGCGAGGCATGAATATCTTCTCGCGATGCATAAAGTATTAACTCGCGATGCATGATTATTAACTTGCAATGCATGAATGTTGACTCGCGATGCATGACTATTGACTCGCGATGCATGATCTTCCGCGATGTATGAATATTGACTCACGATGCATGATCTTCCGCGATGTATGAATATTGACTCGCGATGCATGATCTTCCGCGAAGTATGTATATTGACTCGCGATGCATGATCTTCTGTTGGACATTAATATCTTCCTGTGATGCATTAATTTCTTTGAGGCATGACTATCTTCTCGTGATGCATAACATTACGTGAGGCATAAATATCTTCTCGCGATGCATGAATATTAACTCACGATGGATGATCTTCCACGATGCATGAGTATTAACTCGCGATGCGTGATCTTTTGTGATGCATGAATATTGACTCGCGATGCATGATCTTTCATGATGCATTAATTTTGACTCGCAATGCATGATGTTTCGCGAGGCATGAATATTGGCTCGCGATGTATTTAATTACCTCGCATTGCATGATCTTTCGTGATGCATGAGTATTGACTCCCGATGCATGATCTTTTGCGATGCATGAATATTAAATCTTGATGCCATCCTTGGTACCAAATGAAGATAATGATTCAATCAATCAACATAGTTATCTTCTGGGTGCCTTCTGGGTAATGATATTGTCTCGACCGACAATACAATAAAATGACCCTTCAGGTAGTTTATCATCAAGATTGACAATACAAATAAAATGAAATCTCTTGGCGGTATATCATCTCAATCGACAATATAACTAAATGACCCTTCAGGTGGTGTATCATCTTAACCAACAATACAAATAAATGACCCTTCGGGTAGTAGTAATATCAAATCTGATATTAATGCAGATGACGTCCTTTAGGAAACTGTGAACTCTTTCTTGTTATTTTTTGCTCGATTCGTCTTTGAATCTAGCTGGACGTCTTTAGACTTCACGTTATTGGAAATTGACTGAAATAAACCCCCATATTCCCAAGCTCCCAGTATATGCAATATAAAATAATTCCTACATCTAAAGGAACACCTTTAATTTTGGGAGAGCTTTCTCCTTCCTTGACTTCTTCATATTCATTCAATCAGAGGAATTTGCTGATTTCAAGGCAAAGTTATAAACCTGCGTCCATAAAAAATTTGTAAGTTTTTAAAACGAACTGATCTGTGTCAATTTCATCAGTTGGTTGCTCCTTGTTTTACTATATCCGGTTGATTTCCTGATCTCCCACGTCTTGATGGATAAGACAAAATATTTTACGCTAAAACAAATCAAACATAAAAGGAAAATTTTTAAGAAAAATAAATTTTACAAAAGAAGTATGTTGAGAAAAAGGGTCACTGCCACGTCAGGGTTAATGAACTTCTTCGAGTGTGATGCTTTGAGGTATATCTGATTATTCAATGGAGATTTTTAAAATTCATCCTAGACTGTTGACAAACTATAGTTGATCCTCAAACTGTGCCAGTTAACTGTCTCAGCTTCATCTTTATCTTCCGATGAGTAAGTCACAGAATTTTTGAGATTCTCTGAAACATCTTGTCCCGGTTTCAGATCTCAAAATATCTTCAATTTTGGCTTGTTGAGAAAAAAAATCTTCTTTTAGAGAATTTTTGAGTCCCTCTCAAAAATTCTGTCTCAGTTTCTATTGTAAAGAAGAATAGAAATCTCACGGGAGATATGACCGAACTCTTGTGGCGCCTACGTACCATGTTGAGGCAGGAATGAGGTCAAACGTAGTTCCCCCTCGAAAGTTGATGATAATATCACAAAATCCATATTAATGTCTTCCCACTTCCAAGTCTGAAATTGGATTTCTTGAAATAAACCACTCAACTTTTGTTGTTCAAATTTCAGTTGTTGGAAAATTTGGACATTTTGCAACGAATTCTACTATATCTACTTTCAAGCCTTTCCACCAAAACAATTCTCTAAGGTCATGATACACCTTTATAGATACTGGATGTATGGAATACCGCAAACCATGAGCTTTCTCAAGGATCCGATTTCTCAAGTAATGAACATTGGGATCACACAACCTTTTTTGATACCTCAAGACACCATCCCCCGCTAAGGGTAATGACTAATTAAGCTTACCAAGAATCGATTCCTTCAACTCCATTAGTGGTTAATAAAGGTTTTTTTAGACTTCACCTCAAGATTCAGAGTTATGATGGACCATAAAACCACCATTTGGAGAATCTTCCAATCTAACACCAAATCTAGCCAGCCTATGAACGTCTTTCACTAGGTCTTTCTTAGATTTTCTACATGAGACACACTACACATGGTCATACGACTCAAAGCATCCACAACCACATTGATGTTTCCGTCTTGGTAAAGAGCACTCATGTCGTAATCCTTCAACAATTCCAACCACCTCCTTTGTGAGAGAATTAACTCCTTTTGAGTAAACACATATTGGAGACTTTTGTGGTCGGTATACATATTAACATGGACACCATACAAGTAATTCCTCCATATATTTAAGGAAAACTCCATGGACGCTAACTCAAGATCATGAGTTTGATAATTCATCTTAGGACCTTAAGTTGTCCAGAAGCATATGCCACTACCTTCCGATGTTGCATAATTTCATACCCAAGCCCACTTGGGATGCATAAAAATACACCACAAATCTATTAGTACCATCCGGTAAAGTCAACGCAGAAGCGTATGTAAGCCGCTCTTTCAACATTTTGGAAACTTGTTTCATATGCCTTCAACCACTAAAATTTCACTCTTTTGAGTCAAAATAGTCAATGGAGATGCAATGAATGCAAAACCATCCACTAACCTCCAATGTTATCCCGCTAGAACCAAAAATTTCGTAATGTCAGTTGTAGTTAATGCTGTAGGTGAATTTTTGACCGCCTTGGTTTTCCTTAAAACGACCTTAAACCCCTCACTAGAGATGATATGATGAAGAATGTTAATAAAATCAACCAAAACTCACATTTAATATACTTGGTAAATAGTTGGTTCCCCTTAAGCACTTAAAACACTATCCTTAAAGGATCCATCTGTTCACCCTCCTTTTTTGAATATACTAAGATGTCGTCAATAGAAACAATGACAAGTGAATCTAGGTAACTTTGACACACGCAATTCATGATATCCATAAATGTCTCCAGGGCATTAGTATGACTATAGGACATTATAAAGAACTCGTAGTGGTCATATCTAGTTTGAAATGCCATTTTTGGTCACCCTATGTTGGTTATACCCCATCTCAAGTCAATCTTAGAAAAATA